TACATAATTTTCAGGGATGTATCAAGTGAAATGTTAGCAATTGGATGAGAACAAGCTTTTGGAAGGAGGATTTATATGGGGAAGGAGTGCTGAGAAATAGATTTCTCCATATTTTTGTGATAGCATGACATAAAGATATTTCTGTTGATGGTTCATTTAAAGGTAATGGAGGAGAGTAAGAGAATGGTACGTGGAGGTAATAAGAAATCCCAACAACTGTGAAGTTGATGAATATGAAATTCTCTTTAATTCACTTGTCTCTGATTCCTTGAATGGAAATGATGACTAACTAGTTTGGAGTCTCAACCCTGCAGAGATTTTCACAGTTAGGTCTTTCTATAATCTTCTAATCAAGAATGATCCTATTGAGACCAAGTTTCCTTATTGACACATCTGGAAGGTACATGCCCCTCCAAAGTGGCCTTTTTTACTTGGAAGGTTTAGCGAGGTTGCATTCTCACTATTGATAAGTTAATGAGAAATGGTAAGATTATAGTAAACAGTTGTTTTCTATGTAGGAGGGTTGAGGAGACTTATAATCATATTTTCTTTGGATGTCCAATCTGGTACAACCTTTGGATCATGACTTATGAGTTCATAGGGATTAATTGACTTATGACTGGTATGTTTAGGGCTAAGATCTAGGATAGGAAGGGCATTAGTCAGGAAAAAAATATGTGACTCTCATCCCTTTTACTATTTTTTAGGTCATGTAGAAAGAAAGAAATCAGAGGACTTTTAAAGGGATGGAGTAGGATATAGATCAGATTAAAAATAGGTGATTCCAAACCCTTGATGTTTTAATTATGGGTCATGCTCTATATTTTTTGGAGGATCTTAAGGATCTTATTGGCATTTTAATTGACATGTAAATATTTTTGTATGCGAGTTGGCAACCCTTTAGTAATTGTATTAATTGACACATATTATATTTTATTTCAAAAAATATATATTGTTATTGCTTTTTTAAACCCCTTTTTGTTTTTATGAAGATACTCTATCTAACAAAGATTTTATTGTTATTAAAATAGAATCTGAAGCATTTCTTTTTCTAAATTTTGGTGTTTCTCTTCTTTTCTTGAATCCTTTTATTTTTTATTTGTCCCTCTCTTTTTCCCTTGTCTTTCTCTTCCCCTCAAAATCTCTTCTTTTTCTGCCTTAAACTTATTAAAAAGGTGTTGTCTATTACCTTATTACTCTTTTTTATAAAACCCATTACCTTCTTAGTAGTAATTGTGAAACTATGTCCTACATTAAATGTGGGTTTTCTCTACATTCAAAAATAATAAAATATCGCAACATGTACATACTACAAATTACTCATTTTTCAGTGATAATTGTGACATATTTTAATGACCCTAGTTGATAATTTTTTTTTTTAATAAAAAATAAAAAATATCATTAAATACAAGCGCAACGGGGATGTAAACTCATGTATAAAAATATTTATATATCAACCAAGATATCTACCAGATCACGAAAATCCACCATCGAATACAAAGGTCAACCCATAACATAAATTCCTAGGAATCATCTCGCTCTAAACTTAATAATATCCTCTTTCACCCCATCAAAAGTTCTCTTATTCTTTTTTTCCTATAACCCACAAGGCTACGAGTGGAATGAGCTCCAATTATTTTTTCCGACCGGTGATACCCTTCCAAGCTAAAATTTCGTCCTTTACACTATCAGTCATAACCCAATTGTGCCCCAAGATCCCATAAGTCATTGCCCATAAACTTTACATTATGAGACACCGAAGCAAAAACGGTCACTGGTCTCTTCCGCTTTCTTACATAAACAAGCTTGATTTACCATGATCTTCTCCCTTCTCATCAACTTATCTACGGTTAGTACATCCACGACCTGCTTCCCAAGCGAAGAAAGGAACCCTAGAAGGTGCATTCACCTTTCAAATTTGCTTGAATGGGAAATTGTTCTCGATAGGCTCTTCCTTGTCAAATGTCTATAAAAAAACCAACTAAATAGGTCCCTGTTAAACTAAGGGCACAAACCAGTTGGTCAAAATTCTCATTGAGAGATACAGAAGACAATGAGCTCAATGGTAATTTGTATTCACTAATTTCTCAATTATTGAGGTTCCTCAAGACCTCCACGTGCCAATCCTTCCTCCTCTACCTTTATAAGCCTCTTTAACATAGATATCCTCATATCGTACAATAGCAAAAATCTATAGGAACCTATCTTTCAACGCTTCCCCTTCATCCATCCAAAAACCAATTCTCTCCCCATCTCTAATTCTCCATTTGACACATTCCCAAAATATATCTCTTCCCCATGTACATCTTTTCCACGGCCCCTTCCGATGCAACCTATACAAAACATCAAATTACCTCCCTCTATCCATCATACCGAATTTTACCTCAATAACCCTCATCTATAGCATACCTCTTTGTACCATAAATCTCCACATCCACTTCTCCTGAAGCATTTAATTCATCTCAATTACATATCTCAAACTCAATCCTCCCTGATTTAACGGTAGATTAATCATCTTCCATGCCACCAAGTGGCATTTCCTTCTCTCTTCTTAGTCACTCCAAACAAATTTGCACTAAATTACTTCTATCTTATTAGCAACACTCATGGGATTGTTAGGGTAGAGCCCCATTCACCATAACTGCAAAAAATGTGGTGGTAATGTAAGAATTGATCCACTTACGCCATTTATCACCAAAACCCATTATCGCCAATGTATAATCAACAAAACTCTAATTAATATGATCACAGGCCTTTTCCATATGAAGTTTGCATAGTATCCCATCTCCAATCCTGAATAAAAAAATCATCTACAACCTCATTTGCCACCAGGCATCTATAATTTACCGTCTTTCAATAAGAGCATGTTGACATTCCCCTGTCATTTGACCCAACAATTTTATCATTCTCTTGGCTAAGATCTTCACAATCAGCTTGTGAATGCATCCTAATAGAAATATTGGCCAGAATTCTTTGATATTCACCACTCCCTCCACCATAGCAATTAAAACCATAAAAGTCGAGTTTAAACATTTCATAAACGAACCCGCCTCATGTAGTTCTTTAAAAAGCTCTACCATGCCCTCTTTAATTATACACCAGAATTTCTGCACAAAGCCCATGTTAAAACCATCGGGCCCCAGCAGCTTCATCCTTTCAGCAGTACATGAGCCACTCATAAATTTCCTCTTCGGTGAATTCTCTTTCCAACTAGACCCGACTCATCTCGTCCAAGGAGTTGAAATTGAGACCATCCAAGTTAGGCCTTTAGTCAAACTCCTCGTAATACATTCTTCAAAAGAAATCTTTGATCCCTTGCCTTAAACACTCATTGTCTTTTAACGACCTATTGTCAATCTTCATCACCTTTGCATAGTTAAACCTCCTATGGTTATTAGACATGTTATAGAAAAATTTTGTATTTTTATCCCCCTCTTTTATCCACCTAGCTCTTGACTTTCGTTCCCAGGAAATCTCCTCTATATGAAGTTTGTTTTGCCAGTTTAAGCTTTCAACGTTCCCTACATGCCGAATCTTCGGAAGAACAATACATCTTCGGCTTCTATCTCATCTATTGTCGCAATTTCCTGAAGCAAAGATTGCATGTTTATTCCCTCATTCTAAGCCTCCTCTTTTCACTAGTTCTTGATTGCAGCCTTCATCACCTCCAACTTTCGTGCTGGTCTAAAACTGCCTTGCCATTCGTCATTGAATCTGCCAACCGTTCTTCAACTTTTTTGCTAAAACCATTAACACTTAGTCATTTGTCTTCAAACCTGAAAGCATAGCATCCCACTTGACCCCATCTGACTCAATATATATGGGAAAATGATAAAAAATAACTCTTTAAAACAGTTTTTTTACCCTAGTTGACAATAACATCTGATTGTTTAGAAAAGGAAAGAAGAAAAACTAAGGAAGCTAAGTGTTAGCTTTGTGGAATATCTAATGTACTACTATATGTTTGTACAATATTCTGTCAGAATAGTTCTCTCTCACATGTAAGCTTTGGCGGATTTATGTTACTGGCACATGTTTGTTCAATGTTATGTGCAGCAGTTTACTTACATCAATTATGGCAGATTTCATGTTGTTTTTTAATTTCTGCCACAAGTTAAGCTGGTAGTTTGCACAATTTTAATGTTTATAACTGCTATTTAGAATAAGAAAGGTGCTGTAAGGCAGTTATTCAGTCTATTCTAAGTTCCGTTTCTACAGTCACAAAAGATCATAAAAGAATGTAAAAAAAAAAACAAGTTTTTTGAGTACTTTAAACTCTTAGAAAACCTATAATTTTTTTTTAATATAATTTAATGGTTACTCTTTGCATAGTCAGGATATTTGGCCATACTATGTATGGGCAAAAGCCCATGGACAATTTTCAGAAACTGCTTCCAATGTGTTCCATAGGGATTGAGAGACAATAGTCTTGTAATGCCACCGTATCAGGCATATGTACTTCTTTGTCTGTTTTTCTAATGTTTTTTTCCTCTCTAATTGTTATTTCGAGTCTCCTAATTGACGATTCAAGGAAGATGTATTAGTCTCATACACATAATTTTTTCCTTCTATTCCTAAGAATACTTCTTTGTCTCTCAAAAAAATTTATCTCCATAACAAGATCCTAAATAAGGACCAAAACACATCAAGTCAAGCATATATTGGGAGTTCATGTTCTAGTATTTTCCAAAAAATAACAAAAGGCAAGAAAGTGATGAAATATCATTCATTCTCGTTATCTCTTTGCAAATCATAATAAGCAATGACTAGTTTCATTCATACTGCAGAATAAGGGTCTTCAACATGAACAATGGAAGTCGGCGGAATGTCACACTTGGAAACCATCTCCCTTCCTTTATGCAGTGTTGTCACACATTGTAGTTCTATATGTTGTGGCACACTAGACAGATGATCTGCAACATCAAAGTACCTAAGGAATTAGAAAGACAGTTTATTACTTGCATATGTTTTTAACTCATACTAACAAATTCCTCATATTTACAAATTCTAAAGTATCCAAATGAGAAACCATCAAAAATGAAACATTTTGAGTTTATGAGAAATTCCAAATGGAATTAGATAGTTCTACTTGAAAGTTCCTAAAAGATCATATTGCCCCATTTTCTAATATATTTTCAGCCACCTTAATTGGATTAAGTATGAATCTACAAATAAATTCCACAAAAATTCTTAATTTGTTCTAACATAACCTTAAAAGTGACATTACTGCATTAAGGAAGATTTACACTGTTTGAATTAAGAATTCGAGCAATGAAAGAAAAGAAAATAAAAGCAATGAAACAGTAAAAAACCAAAAAAAAAAAGGAAAAGAAGTAACTCTAATATTCATTAGGGCTTAGGGTAGTGTTGGTAATTTAAACATAATTATACATTTACAGAAGTGGTGGGGTTTTAATGTTCTTTCAATCTTATCTTTTAGAATAGTACGTAAATGTTATTTCAAGTAGTGGTGGGGTTTTAATGTCCTTTCAATCTTATTTTTTAGGATAGTATGTAAATGTTATTTCAACTAGGATTTGTTTATCTATTTGGGATTTTTCTTTTTGATGACAAAATAAATATGTAAAGCAAGTTGGCTATCAACTTCGTTTAACTCTTCCAGAAAAAGAGTGGTAACCAGATCATTATCAAGCTTGGTCCAATTGACTCAATAATTTCTGTTTTTTCATTGTACCGTCACATGCAATGTACAAAAATACCTGTATGGTTGGTCAATACTCTTTTTTTTTAATCAACATTCATTATTATCTCAAGACTTAATCATGTAAACTAGGAGAATCATTATTGGGTAAAAATAGAATGTCGTGTATTTCATTGAATATTAAATCTCTATATAAGCAATTTCTCATGAACAATTATAAAAAACACAATTAATTACATGCATGAGGACATTACTAATATACCATTGACCCTAATTACACTTAATATGCACTTTCCAAGACTCCCCCTCAAGCTGGTGAATACATATTATCTATTCCCAATTCGGCAATAATTGTGTGAAATCCATAATTACTCAATTCTCTAGTAACATAACAGCAAGTTACCAGGTAGGGGACATGTACGATGAATATATCAAACCACTATCCAGTTTTTCCTTAGTGAAATGTATGTCAACTTCAATGTATTTGCCATGTCGTGTTGTATTGGATCGTGAACAATACTGATAACCGATTTATCATCACAATAGAGTCTCATAGACCCCTGACATTCAATTTTCAAAAATCTTCTAGGATCATCTTCAACCATAAAAGTTCACATACTTCTTGAATCATTGCTAGAATTCTGACCATGCACTAGACAGTGCTAACACATTCTATTTTTTACTTCTCCGTATAACCAATTTCCTTCCAAGGAAAGTCGAATAGCCAATGGTCAACTTTCTGTTTACTACTGATCCTACAAAATCTACATCAATATATGCTTCAAAAAGTAACATGTTGTTTCTTTTGAAAATAATACGTTCCCCCAGTGTCCCCTTCAAGTAGTGGAATATTCAGTATGATGTTTGCAATGTACTTCTTTTGTTTTGTGCATGAACTGATTTATCACACTCACTACATAGGCAATACTTGGTCTTGTGTGTGACAGTTACATCAGTTTTCCAACCAATCTTTGGTGTATTAACTTCAACATCTTATATCAATCCTAGTTTATGGTTGGGATCAATCAGGGTGCCAACAGGTTCGTACGTCAGATTGCATGTTTCCTTCAGATGATCACTGACATACATCTACTATGAGATGAATATCCCAACAATTAAGCAAGTCACTTCTATCCTAAGAAAATATTTTAATTTCTCCAATTCTTTAATCTCAAATTCTCTAATCCGACATTGTTTTAGCATTAATATTTCATTTTCATCGTCACCTATCACAATTATATTATCTACATATATTAGGAGAGTTGTAACTCTTCCTGAATCTGAATGATTAATAAGCTAAGTATGATCTCCTTGACTCTACTGGTATCCCATAG